AACCTGGCATAAATTGAAAAATTAAATGTTTTTTTTAAATAATTTTTTATTGATTTTTCAATACAGCAGGAGTTGTACGATTCAACGCAGGCACTGACATACACTTAGACATCTTGTAGACTGCACCAGATCGCTCCAAAGTCAACTGTCTGATACTGTCTTTCAGGCAATTGCTGGCAAAAATTCAATTGCTCTAATAAACCGGTTAATTTTGAAAGTTTTCCAGTTGATTAAATTGATGCACGAAGTCTTTTCTCAGATGCTAGACTCAAACTCATTCGTTTTGAGGATGTGCTGAAAGAACAAAGGGGAAGAAGACTGTGGAATAAGGTACCATTTAATGTGTTGAGGACTTAGCATAAGCAAGTTATATTATACTTTGAAATACATTCCCTCTGAATAGAAATACCACGGAGTTCCGCATGACCCGGAGGAAATGTTACTAATTTCATCTCGGTCACCGTGGTTTGGATCATACGTAAAAATTTCTGTCTTTATTGACCTTACTAATTGTAATAGAATAAGTTATATAAAAAAGTTTATTTTTTTATTCAATTTTTTGCGGTCCCCTTCGGAATTCAATTTCTGAATCCAACCTTGACAATAACTGAGATGAATGAGGTTTAATATTATAATATAGGCCACCTAAAAATCATTTAAGTAATAATTTGTTTTTAAAAATTTATATCCTCTTTCTAAAGGCTGGGTGTGTTCCAGGAGGGTCTCCTGACCCCAGGATAGGTCCAGAGTTGATGAAACAGAATAAATGATTATCTTTCTACAGCAGGACTCGAACCGAGGTCCAGAAATACAGGAGCACACCTTACTTTCGAAGCTACTCCGCTCTCTACAATTACACAAAAATAAATAAATAATAATTTTAACAATAATAGATACATTTTGAAAATTTTAGACTGTCGTTGAGCCTTTACAGAAAAAATACTTAGGAATATTCTTTGAGAAATAATAAAGATACACGTGCTTACGAAAAAACAAAAAAGATATTTCGTTAACTATGTTTTAGGATAATATGTATGGATTTGTAAAATCTATTTAGTTCAGATTTGATAGTATTTTATGTATATATTTTCTCTTATAAATAAACACAAAAACGTCAAGTAAAACCAAAAATATAAAAATCACAACAAATTTTTTCAAATATGTATATTAAATGATTAACTACCGCCATTCATCTCTTCTAAATCTAGTAAAAGAAATTATAAGAAAACATCTTAATGCCAATCATCATAGTTACACATTATTCCGTGTATTGGCAACGATTACACACCTCTCCTTATAAATCTTGTTTTGAATCTACATGGTTTCAGCAGTGTCCATACACCCCTCCCCCTCCAAGAAATTTATTGTTCCATTTTTAGCGTTCTTTAAAAATTTTATAGAAAAAAGTTATTCTTTTTTTATAGAAATCAAAAAATGCAAATCAAATGCATACATTGAAAGAAAAAAACGCTGAAATTATTCCACAATGGTTTATTATTTCCAGACAATTATACATCTAAAGTAACATAGTTACAATATACCTTCATAGTTACAAAGAAAAAATAAATAAATAGGTGAATCCAATTATTGGACTAAACTTTTTTTTTTAATTGGTAAATTTTATATCATTGGTAATATGCTAAAAATAGCATTACATCAGTGACATATTCAAAATTTAAAACCCAAACAAAGGATATAACATTTGGAGAAGAACATATTAAAAAAAACCGGAGACCATATCTTTGCCCCTAATTGTCTGATTTTAACGGTTTTTTTTTTTTTAGGAAATTTCGTAAACTTTAAAAAAACCAATTATTTTTGAGAGGGGGTTAAGTTTTTTAATTTTTTGGTCGATCACAAGGGTTGATTATTGAAAATAATTAACCAAAAATATTTAAAAAATCGCGATATCTCTACTAATAGTGCTTTGATTTCGATGAAATTTCCTTCATTTTGTAGGAAATTTAAATACCTTTGAAACATCTTATCACATTATCTACAAAAAAGTGTAAACTTTTTGAGTTATTAGGAATTTAATTTTACCATCCCTCGTAACTTTTTTTCAGCTTCTTTTCGTTGAAGTATGTTATATAGATAAATTTAAAGGGCGTCAAGAAAATGACTTTAGCGAAGTTTCATTGAAATCGGTACATTCGTTTAGGAGCTACAGTCTATAGCAACGCAGGTTTTTCGGACGCCATTTTGAAAGTAAAAGGCGGATGGTAATGTCGATGAAGGAGGATCATCCTTGGGTGACCTCTGATTTTATATCCAAACTTGAAAATAATTGGTCCAGTAGTTTCGGAGAAAATGCGCGGACGGCGGACGGCCAAACATTTTTTTTTTGTTTTTCGAATTCTACGCATCCTGAAACGTGAAACCTCAAATTTTGAGAGGGGGTTAAGTTTTTGAATTTTTCGGTCGATCACAATGGTTGATTATTGAAAATAATAAACCAAAATCGAATAATGATTTTCTCTTGCGGGTAGGACGTGAGTCGACTACAAGAATAATAAAATGAGAAGTATCAAGTTAAAAATCAAAATCCCACTGTTACACCTTTACCCATGTTTTATCGTTATAATTAAATATTAAAAGTTTTCACTACACAAAAATCCGGTATTTATTTATTAAAAAAATTTCTTGCTGCCACGTGTTCTTGTGGGTACTGTTGTTCATGGTTTTTGTTTTAAAATTGGCTTGATAAATGTACCAGAAAAACTGTAATAATAATTATAATATGTAATGTAATAATTTTAAATAAATAAATACCGGATTTTTGTGTAGTGAAAACTTATATAAATATGAAGTTATATAAGAGATGGAAATAAATAGTAAAATTAAGATATAGTGAATAGAATATTTACATAGAAAATTGAGATGTTGTAGAGTCTATTTTTACTACTTTGTCTGTACATATAGATAGACTCTACAACATCTCAATTTTCTATCTAAATATTCTATTCACTATATCTTAATTTTACTATTTATTTACATCTCTTCATATTTTTCTGTTTTACATTTTATTCTAAGATTCCCTTTGCAATACTTATGTCACCTTTTTTGACTATGTTTACTTCATCATTCCGCACTTTGTACCTGTTATTATTATTTGTCTCTTGTTCATACTATTGTCATTATTCTAACAACTTCATTTTACTGTAATTTTTATATTTCTCATACTTTGTTATCTAGTTCTTTTCTTAGCCCTGGTGCTGGCCTGAACCTCAGGTCGAAACGTCGTTATATGTAAAAATAAATATTATCATTTATTTTTGCCTTCTTTTTTGACTGACCACCCCAACTATTCTTCTCTTCATTAAACACATAATTGGTCTAATTCCTTTTCCGTTCGAAATCGGCTCATACATCAAATGAACTTTTTTGTACAAACATTCACGAGAGTTTGGCCGTTAAGAACTGAGACACCCTATATACATAGAAAATTTGATCGAACTATCGATTTTGAATGTTATCGATTTTTCTACAAACCTTTTGAGTTATATTATGATTTATTTTTCTTCTAATTAGTGAGGGGGAGGGGACAAACGGCCTAATCTTCCCCTCTCCCCTTCTTAGGGCCATGATCATAGCTCGAAAAACAAAAAGACGTAAAACACTAAAATTACCTGTTTAAGTAAGTTTGGGAACAACTTTTCACTAAAATAGACTTACCAGGACCGTAAGTTTATGTCATTGATTTTATAAATATATACAGTTTTCTCAGAAACTGCCCAAACTAGTTATATCGAGGTAAAAATAAATGTTATTTATTATCAATTAGGTCTTATTGTCCGTCATTGAAATGATCTCTAGGGGATTAAATGCTGAATTATCAAAATTATCAAAAAGTACCTATAATTTTGAACTTTTTAAATAATCAAAAGTTGCTCATTGTTATTAATAATCTGAGTATGCAAAACTTTTAATTTTTGTATTTAATAATTCCACGTTTATATAACTGAATGAGAAATAAAAGTTTCCAAATAAAACATATAGAAAACATTTTTTTTTCTAGCTTGACGAAAGCGGCATAGAGTTGCTATAATTCATATTAAATGCCTTAAGTTTGTTTGTATAAATGAAGTAATTTTCTTAAGGTTTGTTAAATTTATAGAAAAATAATTTCCTTTAAAACCAAACACAATAAGTATATTTCATTTAAGCACAAAATAAATAAAACTGAGAAGTCACTCTGGAACGGTTTATTTATAGAATTACTTAAGTTAGTTAAAAAAATATAAATAAATCAAAATATGTATTGAAAATTTAAATACTACATGTGCAACTTAATTTTTTTTTCAGGAAGTAAATAGCACTATTTACATTTGATTTCGGCTCCACCTCAAAAGATGAAAATCATAGGAGTATTTCATGATTACAAAAAAATAAAATAATCCAAACACAACCAGTTGCTATCTCGACTGTCAAACAATCGATTTACTGCCAGAGATATCAAATGTAGGGTTAACACCGCTTTATTGACAGTTCATCCAGAGACACCCATCCTGCCTGATAGTTAATGTCACATCATGCCTATTAAAAATATAACTATTATTGTTTAATAAATGCCAAAAAAACACAATAAGACTCACCGTAAAGTGGTTGCTAGCGAGCGGCGAGGAGGTTATAGAGCTCAATAAGAGCGGGCATGCGTGCTCGAGACCGCCAGAGAGGTAGTTGCGATCATCGTTCCTCTCTGTCAAACTTGTGCATAAACATCATTCCATAATAATAACTTAAAAATAATCCCCACTTTTTTAGCATTTTCAGTTTGGGATGCATCAATACTTATTTAATATTGTAGTTTTGTTAAACACTACGGACCTATACAATAAAATTTAAAAGCACTGCAAATGAATAAGGAGACTTCAGTGTAAATGAACCCAGTGATCGAAACACTCAAATAAATAAATAATACTTTTTTTAACCTATGTAAAAATAATGTGAGATACACTAGTTCAAAAAATGTTTACTAGATTAACAGTTTTTTTTATCAGAAAATCTGTGATGAAGGAGGCAGTGGTGGCGTCTTGAAGGTTCGAATCGTATCCTTGAAGATTGTTGGAGGATCGATCGAATAAATTCTTCTTGCTATGGCTGGAATGGAAGATCATGTATCACTGATACAATTAAATAAGGATTTTAAATTTATTTGTCAATTTATATGAGATTGACTAAACCGAAATACATATAACTGCCTCAAAACAAAAAAAAAATCGATAGAAGTCAGTAAGTTTACTTGGAACTAGTAATTGCTAAACTGAAACAAAAAATACAAAACAGAACAAAAAAGTCGGTTAAGAATAATTTTTAGAAGAAAGGAATATTTAGATTTAGGTGTTATACAGGATGTTTCGTAATTGCACAGCACTATTTTAGAAATGTATTTACTAACACAAAATAAACAAAAAAGTTCATATTAACATATATCTCAAACTCATTTATTAAAAAAATATCAAAGATTAAAGATTTATTATTTATTTACTACATTAAGACTGACTGTACAAAATTTAACGTGTTTAATACTAAATAACAGGTTTTAATCCCCTGATAAACAAACAACAAACGATAAGCAATGACAGTAGTTGCTCATCTGTCTAGTTCTGTGTGTTTTAGTGTGAGTGAATACTGTGACCCAGTTCAATTTATGGTTATCATGGGAGACACCATAAATTTATTCACTTTCACAGAACAAACTTAATTCTTCATTTTCGAAATACCCATATTGGGCTGAAGAAAACTCTCATACGACTGATGTTAGACATTGCCAACATACCTTTTCTTTAAATGTCTGGTGTGGTCTTCTTCAACATCATCGGCCCCTTCTTTTTGCCATCTAGGCTGTCAGGTATATCTTACTTGCATTTTTTACAAAATAATCTTCATGAACTCCAAGAAGATATTCCGCTAGGCATTAGGCAAAGGCTGTGGTTAATGCACTACGGTGCTCCAGCTCACTTTTCTAATAATGTCACTGATTATTTAAATGCAACTTATGGAGACCGATGGGTTGGTGGAAACGCATCTGTTAAATGGCCACTACGATCTACGGATTTAACACCATTAGATTATTTTGTGTAGGGCTGGATAAAGTCTATGGTTTATTCTGCGGCAGTTGGCACGTAAGAAGAGCTAAGAAATCGTATCGTGAAAGGGGTAGTAACTATCAAGCGCCATCCTGATGCTATACGATGATCATGGATTCGTTGCATTCAACATAACGGAGGCCCCTTTGAATAGTTACTCTAAATGCTGTAATAATAATAAATAAATAGTAATAATAAATAATAAATCTTTAACCTTTGATATCTGTTTAATAAATGAGTTGGAAGTATATGTTAATATGAACTTTTTTGTTTATTTTGTGTTAGTGAACACATACCTAAAATAGTGCCGTGCAATTATGAAACACCCTGTATATGATAATATTGCGAATAGGGTGGGAAACTAGTGGATTAGTGATGCTTGTTAAACAAATCGGATCGCTAATCATGAACAAGTAAATAATCTCGGTTGAAAATTCAAGTATATCATGGGTTCCAAAATTGAAAAGCTGCACGTAAGATGAATAATTTGTAGACGTACGTTTTTTAGGGTGGAGGTAAATTTTGGGGTGTTAAAATTTTTAAAATATTTCTATATTAATATTCTCAAATATTTCTTTCGGGCTGAAGTCCCCTCCAAAATGATAAAATATAACCATGCCTTATATATATATATATATATATATAGGCGGGGTGGCCGAATGGGCTAAAGCGTGTGCTCAGCACCGCCGTTGCCCGGCAACCTGACATATGAATCTAATGATATAAAAATAGTCACGAGTTCGCGTCCCGGTGCCGAGGGAGTCTTTTAAATCCCCGCCCACACTCCCTGGCCCGGGAAAACCCCGTATAGCCTTAACGGCGAGGAAGAGGAGGACAAAAAAAAAAAAAAATTATTTCTAAAAGTATATACAAGAATCACTTAAACACCATATAGGTACCCGTTTGCTTTCCACTTGAATCGGAAGAAAATGTGAGCAGAAAATAGATAAAAAGGTGGCCTTGAAAAATATTGGGCCGTTTGGCGTGACCTACACCCCAACATGTCGAAATAACGAGATTATAAAGGCCAAACGGAGCGATATTTTTATATGCCAAATTTTTCCTCAATTTTGTGATCAAATTATCTTACGATCCAAGTGTAAATAAAATGAGTATTTACGAGTTTTTAGTACCTAATTAAATAGACAAAGTTTGCTGATATCCAGATTGAAAACTCCCCTATTCCAAGAGTTTTCGTAAATAAAATATTTGTAGTTTAGGATGTGATGAAGCTATTTACGAAGTTTCAGGCGGATGTTAATAATTTGATAAAATGGAGTCTGTAGCACGGACTAGTTCGCTGCATTGCTCCAAAAGCCATTGAAATTTCGAGCTTTTTTTTTAAATGAAAAATATTTCCTTTTTAAAGCGACACAGATAAAAAATGGTTATATTCAACCTTAAACAATTCAAAATTATCTAAAATTTTTGTAAGTTACACTTTTCTCTAAACACAACAGGATGCGAGTTTTAAAGTTACAACTATTGAGTTTTAAAAATGGGTAAAGTTTTGTAAATTCACTAAAAACATATATTACAATATGTATTAAGCCAACTGTAGCATATTATCTAGTTAAATTAATGATTGCCATGCGAAATATATATGAAAATATATACATATATGATGGGGATTATTTTCGAATTTCAACATCAATTTTTTTTACTTTCACCTACCTATATATGAAATTTATATAGGTAATTTATTATATGAAATTTATTATAGTAAGGGACAATATTGTGATCGTGACAATTTTCGAATCTCAGTTTTCAACGGAAATACAAGTTTTGAAGTCTCCTAAATCCAAATAACAAAGTCCCGCTAAATGGTCTGTGTGTGTGTGTTCATGTGCGTGTGTCTGTGTGTATGTACATGACAGGTCTAGCTCAAAAACGAAACGTCGTATGAAATTGAAATTGCATATTTTAGGTTTGTATATATCTTAGATGTTACAGCAACGTTTTCGTCAAAAAAGGCTAACCGGAAGTGACACTTTAAATCTTGGATGAAACAATTCTCAAAAACGGCTTCATCGAATTTGATTAAATTCACTATAACAGTGTTAAATTCACATGAAATTGAAACGAGCAATGTTAAGGCCATTTTTAATCAAAATCCTACCCAATCAGTGCGAGAGATTGGTATGGCCCTAAATGTGTCACATACAAGTGTAGAAAGCATTTGCACAAGTTCGGCTATGTTTCCAGGCTTAATGTTTGTGCCCCTCACATGATTTTTTTTTTTCAAAAATCACAAAAAATGTTATAACTTCAATACGATTTTAACTATGTACAAGAAATTTTTAGGGCCGCATAAACACAAAATTACATCAACAAACTGCAAATGGAGATAAAATAAAAATCTATAAGGAGTTTTTGTTTATTTATTCCTTATAAGGGGATTAAATGAAAAAACGGAAGAATTAAATAACTATTCATAGAGCAATAATTCAGCTTTCCAATGGATACAGTAATATCGAATTTGGAGAACATCATGAAATATTATGAATGATCGAAATAGGGTTGTGTTCCACCAAGAGAAGGCTTCGCCCCACACCTCACTGGTCAGTCGCAATAAATAACTAAGCCTTGGATGGGACTTTTTGCTCTACCCTCTCTATTCACCAGACCTAGCTCAAAGTGACTACCACTTATTCCGGTCCCTGCAGAACTCCATGAAAGGAGAAGAAATTCCAAGAGGAAGAGGACATCAAAAACCACTTGGATCAGTTTTTTAACAATTAACCTCAGACATTCTATAAACATGCAGTTATGCAGTTAGCGGAAAGATGGGAAAAGGTCATATTAAATAATGGTCAATATATTGTAGATTAAAATAAATTTTATGTCTATTATACATTGAGTTTTATTTCACTCTGAAAAACCGAAAGGACTTATTTTCTAACCCAACAGAGTACAGCTGTTTAAATATTAAAATTTGTATACATAAGGGTACGTAAACAAATAAATATGAAATATAAATCAATACAGCGTTTATAATTTTTACTTTCACTTCCCCTTTGTCTTAAAATACTTACATCTCCTAAGAAGAGGGTGGTAAGTGAAAGCTGTGTGTTGCACGCACCGCACCAGATATTGTTTTAGCAATTTTTATGTTAGTTGTTAAGTTTAGAAAAATGTGTCATCTATAAAATGTGTAGTAAATTGCATGTGCTTTGATATTTAATTCAAAAATTTGTGCTACGTCACCTATAAAAACAGATAATTAATCTATAAAAAACAATAAATTATGCCCATTTTTTGGGAATTTTCAAAACTTTTTGAAAACTCGGTTTAGAAAAATATGTTAGATAAGTTTAACCTGTTTAAGATTGAATATGACCAATTTTTATCTATGTCACTTTAAAAAGGTGATATTTGGCATGATCCGAAAATAAAAAAAATCGAAACTTTAATGATTTTTGGAGCACTGAGGCGAACCCCCATCGTAAACTTTTAAGGACGGTAACTTGGATTTTTCATATTCACTACAAACCTAAAAATATTTTTTTTTTTTTTAAATATTTATTTATGATATTTACAACTGTATTAATATAAATACATCAAGTAAATGTGCACACAGAAATATAATCACACTGAGGCGAACCCCCATCGTAAACTTTTAAGGACGGTAACTTGGATTTTTCATATTCACTACAAACCTAAAAATAATTTTGTTTTAAATATTTATTTATGATATTTACAACTGTATTAATATAAATACATCAAGTAAATGTGCACACAGAAATATAATCACACTGAGGCGAACCCCCATCGTAAACTTTTAAGGACGGTAACTTGGATTTTTCATATTCACTACAAACCTAAAAATATATTTTTTTTTTAATATTTATTTATGATATTTACAACTGTATTAATATAAATACATCAAGTAAATGTGCACACAGAAATATAATCACACTGAGGCGAACCCCCATCGTAAACTTTTAAGGACGGTAACTTGGATTTTTCATATTCACTACAAACCTAAAAATAAT